ATCATCCAGCAAGAAATCACGCAGTTCAGGCAAACAATCAGCCTACTTGAAGCACGCTAGTGACAAATGCCGTCACTGTGGACAGAAATACCAGCCTGGACACTTACAGGTGTGTAAAGAATTCCAGAAAAAACGGGATAATTACATGAATAAAGACAATGGGTCAAAGGCATCCAAGTATGCACCCAAAAACTATACTGGTAATTTTTCGCTAAGGCGTAGATCATTTGAAGATAAAATGCATAATGATGATAAGTCCAACAAAAGGATCAATCAAATTGAGACCTCTAAATATGATGAATCTCTCCCTTCTCAAACATCAGGCACACATCCAGCTGATGAAATTATGGATGAATTGTCACAGGATAACAATCTCCTGAGTCCGTTTAAACGAGCTCTCAAACAAGTCAAAGAAAAAAGGCGCAATATGCAAGATTAATGGCTCTCGTCGACACAGGCGCTGACATATTCTTTATTAGCAAGCAAATTGTTGATAAATTAAAATTAAATGTTAATCCTACAGAAGGTCTATTATTACTAGCAGATAAGGATAAGACATCCAAACGTTTAGGCGTAACCGATAAGATGAATGTCGGATATAAAGGACAAACAATAGTCCATGAGTTTGAAGTGTTAAATATGAGCAATGAAATTGATGCTATTTTTGGTCGTGATATCCTACCTAAGCTTGGTATTCACCTTGTTGGTGTTGCTACTAACTGGGATGACAACAAAGTCGTCTATGATGACTCAATCGATGATACGGAATATATTCCTAATATATCCAATGCAGGTACACCTGACGAACATGAGGCTCTCATATTAGCCTTACAGTCACATATTGACAAGAATCAACAGATTGATGTTCATTCACTCTGTAATATACCTGAGGCTGTTGTTCGATTGGACACTCCAAAAGGCAAACATGTCAATGTACGACAATACCCTATTGCAAATAATATGATGCCTATATTTGATGAAGCTGTTAAAACATGGCTTGAAAATGGCGTCATTGTACCTGCACCTCCTACACCTTGGAATAGTCCAATTACCTTTGCATCGAAAAAGGACATCAATGGTAACAAGACTGACTTCAGACCGTGTATTGATCCTCGTAAAATTGATACGCTCCTGGAATCTGACAACTTCCCATTACCATTGATTGATGACATATTTCACGATCTTGCTGGGTGTACCATTTTTACCTCACTTGATCTCAAAAGTGCTTTCCACAGATTGCCAATATATGAACCACATCAGATCAAAACTGCATTCACTCATCGAAACAGACAATACATGTTTCGTTCGGCTCCATTTGGACTCAAGCACGTCTCTAGTCATTTTATGCGTGTGATGAAGTTGATATTGGACGATTTACCTAGCGTTCACGTCTATGTTGATGACATTGTCATTGG